AACTCTATATATAGGTCTATTTCTTGGTGTGTGGTCTTATTTTAGATTTTTTTTAAATCATAAATACAATATCATATATATATAGCCTTTATATATATTTTTTAAAGATAATTGCAATTGGAGGTAAATGTACCATATTGGTGCAGATCTCAAACTTTAATATCTGTCAGACATTTCAATTTACTTTAGTCAGCAACTCTCATCTTTTTTTTTTTCATTTTTATCTTGTTCCAGACAACAGACTCTTCTACACTGGCCCCAGTATGCAGAGCATGCGCCTGCTAGTCATGTGAGAGGAGGAGAAGAAGCCTGTTTTGATGGAGTGCCACAATAACCCTGGTACCGGGAACCACAATGGTGTCAGAGGTACCCGAAACAGGGTTGTTGCTGGCTATTACTGGCCAACATTGACCCAGGACATCAGTGAATGGGTAATGGCCTTATGTGAGTGAAGAAGCTAAATCAGGTCGTCATAATTTTTTCTAAAACATCTGTAGGCTATATAATTCAATGTGTTTACTTGCACACTTACATTTCAACATTAGTTTCTGTCTTTTTATTTTATTATCAATTTACATCAACTGCTTTAGGGTTTGCTAGACGTATTGTTTGGAATACGCCTTTCAGGTCAGATGTTGTCATCGCTGCCAGATGAATGACCCAATCAAGACCGTGGCACCAACATTACATCCCGTCAAGGTACATCTTAAAGCTATTTACATTTAATTTTCAAGTTAATAAGCTTGTCTGCTGCAGGTTAGCTTTAAATTTTCACTTGATAAGTTCTGTGACCTGCAGGTAAAGAACCTTGGGAGTTGCTGGGCATGGATTTAATTGGACCACTCCCAGAAACACGTCTAGGGAACCGATATGTCCTGACCATGACCGATCTGGGTGATTGCAGAACCTCTTAAGTCCAAGACTGCTGCTGAGGTCTCTGCAGTCATGAAGTCTAAGTTTGGCATGGTGAGGAAGATCATCACTGACCAAGGAAAGGAGTTTGTGAACCAGGTAAAATTTGTGAAAGTGTTAGTCGTAACTTGACATTTGAGATGATGTATTTAGACCAAGTCTGCTCATGCCACTGCAGCTCAACGACAGCATTTTCAGCATGCTGAATATTAAACATGCTGTCTCCAGTGCGTACCACCCCCAGACCAACGGGCAGGTTAGCATTTGGATATCTAACCTTGAGTAACTCATGGGAAATCAGTCATGCTTCTTTATCTATTCTCCAATACAACTCAAGGATGAGAGGACCAACCAGAACATTAAGCGTGCTCTCAGAAAGTACGTGAACCAGAACCATGACGACTGGGACGTTCACCTTGCTGCTGTGGTGTACGGCATCAACACTGCAAAGCAGGTATTCCTATTTTGACATTTTGTATGACTTTTACGCTGCTTCACAGTGTAGCATCGTCTTAAGAATGTTTTTAATTTTGTTTATAAAAAAAAGAAGTTATTGACAAGTGCAAGAGAAAATGAATTAATGGAGAGATTTTGTGTGATCAGCACTCCACCCGCCACAGTCCCTATTTCCTGCTCTTCCACCGACATCCACGTCTTCCTGCTGTGATGAACACCTGTCCCATGGACGATGACTTTGAGGTTGCAGACCCAGAAGAGGACATCGACACAAGAGTTGAGGAGATGACGGTTCTGAATGAAACAGTCTGTACATTTGAAGAGGGCTGACTGAAGGGAAAGGAGATTTGTTGAGGGAAAAAGGGGAAATGTGGTTAGTGTATTCAACATTTTTACTGCTTTAGTAGCTAACTTTTCTGTATTTCTATATTTCCAGAATGAGCATTGCCATGGCGACCTGGTGAATAATAAATATTTATATTTCTCTCTCTGCTTTTCATGTAAATTTTTTGTAGGTTCTTCGCAATATTGAGAGTGCACAGGACACCCAGAAGAAGACCTTTGGAACACGGAAAAGGAAGCTAGTAAGGCAGTGTGTTGTTCAAGCAGGCAATGACGTGCTTTTGTCAGGAGAAAACAGGAAGAGACCTTGAGGTATGTTTTCAGTGCAAAAGTTTGAAAGCTCATCAGGTGCATCATAATGCAATTAACAACTAGCAGGTGCATGTCAGCTCTCCTCATTTAATGAAACATGTTTCTTTTTACAGTTCTTTCCCCAGCAGTTCATGGGAAATTGCTGCGGCATCTTTATGCTGATGGTGAGAATTTTCTTGCCATTACTTGAATGTAACATTTTAACATGTTAAAGATTGATTTTACTTTACAGTATGCTCTCTGCATCTGCACCTCATCTCCACCATCTTTCACAGAGGTAAGCTTTTTCAGACAGTACCACCAAAGTATCTGTGCCAGTCTCCAGTCTTCATAAACCTTACATTATATTTGTCTTCAGGAGGAAATGCCAGCAATTCGCCTGTGGTGGTGCATTCAGCTGATGGAGAGATTCGGCACTGAGGGGTGTGGCAGGCACTTTAGACAAACTGGCACCATCATATTTGCAGCTTTGGTTCAGGCAAGACATCAGGTCAAACAAATGTTTGTGAAAGTAGCTTACTGTAAACCCTGAGATTGAACATACTGAAGAAAGCAGCAGTACACAACTAGAGTCCATTCAGACTGGCGTTGTTTTCTAAAGGCATGGACAAAGATTTGCCTTCTGGACAGAAGAAGCATCCCTTCTTCTCCAGGGGACTCTCCAGCCTGTCTTCAGGGTACCAAAGGCAACCTCCTCCAAGCCTTCACCAAGTCTAATCAGACCGGTGAGAAGACAACAATCAGATGACTATTTGTAGGACAGAACCACACAATGTTGAGACTATTCATCACAATGCAGGTTTACATACATGGTGGTAGTCTTCATTTCAGTCTAATGTGATAATCATGTTTTCTGTTAAAGGCTGAGGCTGACAGGTGTCTTATACTGGAGGTAATCTATTGATTTTCCTGTTTCTTTCATTTGTTGATATAACTGAATTAGTAGTTATAGTCACAGGCAGCTCCTTCAGAGACATTATCCAGTAGTAGAATGAAGTAATAGTTATGAAACACTACTCAGTGTAATGTGTTTTCAGTCCTCATATTTCTGAAACTTTATGGACAAATTTTGTATTTTCACTATTGTCACCTGGCATAAATTTTGCAGTTACCAGAACGTGTCCTAATGGACATATTGGAGAGTTTTGTGAGAGTTTTTGATCATTCTTCTTGGAGTACTATAGCAAAAACTGTAATGCTCTTGTGGCAAGATGGATAAACGAGGGCCCGGGTGGGATTCAATCCCCAGACTCCCGGGTGAGAGTCATACACTCTAACCAGTCAGCCAAAGGGACTGATCAAGGATGATCAATCGGGACATTGTGATAGGACACTCACACTGTCACACTCTGTTTGAGAAAGTGAATCTGTTGGGCTTGTACCTGGTACTCAGAGTACCACACTGCCAGAAAGGGCACGCTGAAAATAAAAAGCTTTTTATTTCCATCAATATGTGTCTCCTTATTCAAATCATCTGGGTTGTAACCATCCTCTCAATCCTTTTTCTGTTGTTCATGCTCTTGTAATCTGTTGTTTGTGTTCCGCATTATTACAGTAAACCTGTGGAAATTATAAAGTGGTCCTGTGTTATTTTATATGGATATAAACATGAGTGTAGTTAAATCTGTATTTAATATGTTTAACTTATGAATACCTTGATAAACTATTTTCAAACATTAATTTTGCAGCATTGTGAAAATGATCACTATGGTCTTACAAAGAATTAAGTTATTTCAAGACAAAGTGGCAAACTAAGAAATCTAACAAAAGTAGAAAGTAAACAAATTTTAGGTGATGAGCCAAATTGGCTTTTGTGCAAGAATATATTACATTTCATATTGGAAAACATTCATAGGACATGTAGTGCAAATTAAGAATATCTGCTGTATCACAGTGACACATTTTCATCTTTTAAATGAAAATATAACCTATTGTGTGGAGAAAAAACAAACGTAATAGGTTACCTGAAGACTAATCAGCCAGTGTTTACTGACAATTTACAGTGGACATTATCAACAGAACATCAAGATAATTCAAATCAATCGTCTCCACACATACAAGCATAAACACACTAAATCAAATTTAACACGCATATAAAAACATGATTTGTAACAACGCAATTTCAGTTTACAATCGGGCTAATTCGCTCGGTCAGCAAGTGGCAGTATCCTCGTACACTGCGGAGTAAACTGCCATTGAACGGATCACAAGAAGAATAGAGCATCTGCACATGCGCGGTACGGATCAGGTAGACCCGATCTGTACGGTCCGACGTTTTTTTTTTTTTAATCTACATTATATTGAAATGTTTCACTATTGCAAACATTTAAATAGATACTTATTATTTTTTAACATCTTAACAGATACTCTGACCCGTAACTATCGTAAAATGTTTCGAGCGGAAGTAGACGCCCTTCGCGCATGCGTGGTACCGATCGGGTTTCCGGTACGGATCGGGTAGTTACAGCTATAACCTACGCAGTCACAGGAATGAATATATAAGCAGTTTAAAGTAAGGGAAAGCTGTAGAGAAGACGAAGAAGAAACCAGCGAATTACTTTTGTTAAGTTTTGTTCCTGACGCGGATTCATTCCCTTATGGTTACGTGCAGCCAGCGAGGTACGTTAACTGTGTGTATAGCGTATTTGTTAACTTGGGTTAATGTTTATTTGTAATATTTATGTTTGGTTATTCTGTACTTTGGTGTAATGACAGTTTGACGGTGGATTAATGGTGTTTTGGAAGAGAAGTGTGAAGGAAGAATAAATCCATCAGTGAATGAAGAACCGTGGTGTCGTCTATTAACCGGAGGGAGCGAAAGTCAAACTCAAATAAATAGTTGGCTCTTAAGGAGCAGAAGTACACCTTGTACATTTGGTAGATATCCACAGTTTGTATTTACGGTTCAGTGTCTTTACAAGTTCGGTATGTGACAGGTTATAAAAGACCCTTTTACTGTTTGTAAACAACATGACGTCAGCGAGAATGCGCGCGCAGCTTGGCAACAGAGAATAGCGTTGTTTCAGGCTTTATCAAGCTACGCTGCGGGGTTATCACCGGCAAATCTTGAATGTTATATTAGTAAACTCACTTTAACGAATGGCAACAGACTCCCGGATCCTTGTGGCATTACGGAATGGGTGGAAGATGTAGGTGCGTGGCCAGATATCCAGTGGCCCGATATATATACGTTTTTAGTGGAGAGGCCCAGTAAGTACACACATGAGAAGCTACGGGCATACAAATCGTTAGATGCATACAACTATGTTGTCTGTGGACACGTACAGAAAGTAAAATATCACGACATAGACTCTGAGTTTTGCGTCTTGAAGGCAGAAGTCCTTCCTAGCCAAAGACAAGGACACAAGACTGCTATGTACGAGGCTTGGGTCATAGTAAACAAACCAGAGAACTACGTCTTCACAGCCAACTGTACTTGCATGGCAGGGTGAGAATAGCATAAGTTTCTTTTTTTAGCGTGCTCAGAGTACAATCGTGTTAATTTTAGAGAAATACTAATATGCAGTGGGAAAATACAGATGGTGTTTATATTTCTTATAAAGTTTAGCCTCCGAATCAGTACAGGGTACATCCCTGCCTCTTCAGAGCATAGACCACATCCATGGCGGTCACGGTCTTCCTCTTGGCATGCTCGGTGTAGGTGACTGCATCACGGATAACGTTCTCCAGGAACACCTTGAGCACTCCGCGAGTCTCCTCGTAGATCAGACCGGAGATACGCTTGACTCCACCACGGCGAGCCAAACGGCGGATAGCAGGTTTGGTAATACCCTGAATGTTATCACGGAGAACCTTACGGTGACGCTTAGCGCCTCCTTTTCCGAGTCCTTTACCTCCCTTGCCTCTTCCGGACATTTTGATTATAGATCAGTTCATTTGGAATGGAGAATCAATTTCCCTCTGGGATTAATAAAGTATTTTTGAATTTGAATTTGAATTAGAATGAAATGTTAATTTGAAGCATGAAATAAAGCGTGTAAAAACGCACCCGCTGCTCCAACACCCGTACGTCGACCCAACTGCTCCGAGTAGGCTCTTTAGACAAGCTTCATCCCGAGTGTTTGTCTTTTCAAGTTCAATAAATATTCCGCTATCACCATCAATAGGCTGCTCGACATCGCTTGAGCTACTTTATCGCACGTGTCTCAACATTTGCGTCGGCGACGTATCGACTTTGACACAGCGCGCAACATTTCATATCTACGTCCAGATTCAGTCGACTGACGGGTCGACCGGGTAGAAACACCTCATTGTAACAACACTTCTCATCATGGTAGAGCGTAGTCGTTTCCGAGAGCCTTCCTCTCGACGTTATGGTGTACATATGAACCGTGTTCATTTCATCCACAGGGTCCCGTGTGTCTTGCATCAGCTATACACGGGATTACGCGGCGGTAAGCGACCGATGGGTCTATCGTAGGTTTGCGTGCTGCAGTACTCTACTAGATCGTTGAACGTGACACCTTGTCCTGTGCGTATGTTGAATTCATAAGGAAATGCCTCGGCTCTATCCGTCAATGTCCCAGGGTTGTTATTGAACGCCAACATCACGTCGTACAGGCACGCATGCGTGGTAACGTCTTCGGGGTTGTGACAAGACAGCTGACTGGTCGTGTTGACGCGAGTCGGTGAAACGGGTCGGGTTGTAGCAATATCAACAACGGCCGAATCTTTGCGGTCTGACGAAGCGGGTGAGTTTGTCACACCACCGGCGGTGTACACTTTGGTCCCGACAGAGTCCACAGGCTCGATTTGCGTGTGATCGCTTTTGGCGCTTGCAAAATATTCATTTGTCTCCTGTGCAACAAGAGACCCGGTCCATTTTGTAGAAGTCAAATGGTCTGTGCTGGTGACAGAAACCCCGTGCAACCTTTCGTGCACCAAAACGCCTCTAGTCAACAATCCCGATGGGGAGATCACGTCCTCGAGTGAAGGAGTTTGTCGAGTGTCTTGCTCAGAGAAATGGAGTTCGATGATGTGGTTAAACAAGGGGTAGTGGTGCATTACAACGTGCATCCTGAGAAGCATTTCTTTTACTGTTTGTTGAAACAAAGAATACATTTGTTTACCCAGACGGTGTTCTTCGCCGCAACTGCTATCTCGTTCTAGGTAGTGGAGCAAGTACGCGACGCATGGTACTCCTTTACATCCGCACAGTTGCACCAAGTCATCGTCCATGGCGATCGACGCCACATTGACATTTTTGTCTGTGAACGCCATATCCTGTCCTCGAACACATGTGTGTTTCGTGAACTTGCCTACTGTCACATACTTTAGAATTTGAATGAGACAAGGGGTTGCTGTGTCCATGTCTGATTCCACTATATAAGTAAGCCGTGAGGTGTTCATTGTCCTGTAAGGACATAGGACCGCTAGATGCATTCCATAGGTAAAACACATCCGTGGAGATCCGGTCTTTAGTTATGAAATACCACCGTTGGGACTGAATATCTTCAGAGGCTGAATTTGTTGCGTGCATATTTAGGTCTTCTGTTTCTCGGCTCACCATGGGAAACGGGCTTCTTGCAGATGTACTCCGTTATATAGCTCACACTTACCTGGTATATATATATATATATATATATATATATATATATATATATATATATATATATATATATATATAGTGTGTGTCATAGTATATATGTATATATACATATATATATATACTTACATCATTACTGGATGATAGAAAATGTACAAATGATGCTCTATTGTAGCCCTCGCGGAATTTGTACACTCTATTCTCGGGGCTTCCGTGTACTCCGATCGGTTTTTCTTCCTCTTTGAAATATGGTAAAATTTGTAGTTCGGCCACGGCAGACTCCACTCCTAGTTTCAATGTCGTACACATGTTATTGTTTTGGGCCTGAATCATAACGTTGATATCCAAGTGTGAAGGAAGAATAAATCCATCAGTGAATGAAGAACCGTGGTGTCGTCTATTAACCGGAGGGAGCGAAAGTCAAACTCGAGGCCCAAACACGCCCTATCAGCGCAAATTCAGCAGCTCATCAAGACGGGAACACAGATAAGCCACTGTTTAGGCCACACAGGTTCATAAGGTTTTCATGAAGAAGTCTATAAGTCAGACTGTAAAGTTTTGGTCTGAAAAGTGACACAAGAGTTGAAAACTAAGAGGGACTGTGTATAACCTGGCAGCCACGGTGTTTCACGTATATGAATGTGCACTTAAATAAGAGATGTGAGTTCATGTTCAGTTGAATAATAATAGTTGGCTCTTAAGGAGCAGCAGTACACTTTGTACATTTGGTAGATATCCACAGTTTGTATTTACGGTTCAGTGTCTTTACAAGTTCGGTGTGTGACAGGTTATAATAGACCCTTTTACTGTTTGTAAACAATATGACGTCAGCGAGAATGCGCGCGCAGCTTGGCAACAGAGAATGGCGTTGTTTCAGGCTTTATCAAGCTACGCTGCGGGGTTATCACCGGCAAATCTTGAATGTTATATTAGTAAACTCACTTTAACGAATGGCAACAGACTCCCAGATCCCTGTGGCATTATGGAATGGGTGGAAGATGTAGGTGCGTGGCCAGATATCCAGTGGCCCGATATATATACGTTTTTAGTGGAGAGGCCCAGTAAGTACACACGTGAGAAGCTACGGGCATACAAATCGTTAGATGCATACACGTACAGAAAGTAAAATATCACGACATAGACTCTGAGTTTTGCGTCTTGAAGGCAGAAGTCCTTCCTAGCCAAAGACAAGGACACAAGACTGCTATGTACGAGGCTTGGGTCATAGTAAACAAACCAGAGAACTACGTCTTCACAGCCAACTGTACCTGCATGGCAGGGTGAGAATAGCATAGGTTTCTTTTTTTAGCGTGCTCAGAGTACAATCGTGTTAATTTTAGAGAAATACAGTGGGAAAATACAGATGAATTAGAATGAAATGTTAATTTGAAGCATGAAATAAAGTGTATAAATTTATATGTAACCTTAGTACATAATTACCTTACCTGATATAAAATGGGCGCTACAAACTCGAGCATTTCGGATCGTGTTTTCCGTCCAGTGTTCATCAACCCTTTTGATGGCCTGCAGCCACAGACGCCTCCGATTTTGTTGAAATGGATGTGCTCCCTTCGGAATTTTGTAAAGTTTCACTCCACTGCTTGAAGAGAAGCGATTCTGGCATCCATACACGCAACTACCCGACATTTTTATGTGCTCAGAACTTCAAAACAAAGTGTTTAAAACGCTGCTTTAGTATCGAGTGTGAATGAGGAAGCCTTCACTCTCGTTGCCAGGCTGCGCGCGCAACTTTTGATGACGTAGGTAGTAAAAGGGTCTATAAGAACTCTGTTAAGTGTACTTACTCTGTAATATTCTACATGGAGAGTGACTTTAGTTAGTTAAGCCCCTTATTCAGCATTGACAAATAGTGTTGCAGCTTGCTCTTGTATGTTGCCTGTGTACAAATAATCAAAATGTCACATACAAGTAAAGAAGCTCAGGGTGCAGCAGCTGCTCTGGAAGAAGAGACCGAGTTAGAGCAGACAGATTAATCAAATATCGGGCAAAATATAGCACCACCTGAAGTGCCTCGTAGAAGTGAAAGAGCCCGGACATTAACAGAAAAGGGAAAGGAGTTTCAGAAAGAGCAAATCAAGTGCTTCGCTTTGACAGCAAATATGAACGATGGAAAGCTCTAATTAAGGTAGCTAAAAGATCTGTGTTAAAACAGGATCCTAGTGACATCCTACAAGAACACATAATCGGTATTCAAAGGGAATTATCTGAATTGAACATTGCTTATGATAACTACCGAAAAATTGATCAACCATCCCATGACATGCGTCGCAAGATGGATCGATCACCAAGACTGTATTACGAAATGCTCAATTTGAAATACAGGGTACAGCTGAGGAGTTGATTTGGCCAGATCACAGTTCTGTATTCGCATCTTCAACTTCCAGTGTTTCACTTTCTGCCTCTAACGGTTCTAAAGCATATTCTTTTCACTCAAATGTATCTTCACTTAGAAGACAAGAAGCTGCTGCCGAGTATGCAGCTACACGGGCTGTACTGCAAATTATGGCTGAACAAGAGGACCACCAAGAGAAGCTGCAAAATCTTGAAGCTGAAGAGAGGTTGGTCATTGCAGACCAAAAAGCAGCCGCATTAGCTCGTTGTCTTGAAGGAGAAAGAGAAGAAAACGAACGCAGGTTAGAAAGAGAGAAACAAGAGGCCGCTCTCTTAAAGAAACAGCAAGAAGAGAATGCTGCAAGATAGAGGTCTGTAGAGAACCTAAAGAGAGAGCTTGATCGTTTAGAGAATTTGAAAAGGATGAATGCAGCCAAAGCAAGGCTTCAAGTGTATGATGAGAATGAGCTCAGCCCAGCACAAGGGAATGCTCTGTGGGCTGATCTTCATAAGGTTATGCAGCCACTCAACCAGATGAAATCTGACAACTGGCACTCACAATCACCAAAGGATGCAGTGCCAACACATGTGCTTCAAGACAGCACAGGAGAGCTTGTGAAAGTCTTAGCTGAGGCTATATCAGCAAATAGGCTACCTATTCCAGAGCCCACAGTTTTTAATGGTGATCCACTCAAGTTTAATCATTGGAAATCATCCTTCCAAACTCTTATTGAAAAGAAAAATATTTCAAGTTCAGAGAAAATATTCTTTCTTCAGAAATATGTTGGAGGAGCAGCTAGAGAGGCATTAGAAGGTTATTTCCTGATTGGTTCAGATACTGCATATGTAACTGCATGGGGACTGCTCAATGAGAGATACGGCCAGCCTTTTATGATTGCAAAGGTCTGCCGAGACAAATTACATGCCTGGCCAAAAATAGCGTCAAGAGCTGACTTAAGGAAATTTGTGGATTTTTTACGCAGATGTGAATTTGCCATGACTCACAATGAGTGTCTGCGTATTCTTGATGATGACGTCGAAAATCAAAGGCTGACAGCCAAGTTGCCTGATTGGTTAAGCAGCAGATGGAACCGAAAAGCCACACAGTATCAGCTGGAGCATGGGAGGTTCCCAGATTTCAAGTATTTCGTAACTTTCCTGACCTTGGAGGATAGTATTGCTTGTAACCCTGTTACATCTTACTATGCTTTGCGGCAAGGGGAGCAGGAAAGGACTAGATCTAAACCACAGAATGTAGTGACCCCTAAGAGCCAAGCAGCAAGTGCAAGGATTTTTACCACTAACACCACTGAGAAGAACATAA